CCCCAAAACCCCAAAACCCCAAAACCCCAAGTTGTCTAAGTATATCAGAGAGCCTAATTAAAAATAATATAAATTCAAAATACTGATGGAATAAATGAATTAAGAAATTTAAGAAATTAACCCAACTAGATACATAAATGTGTATGATAGGTATATTATACATCTAGATATGGATGCTTACTACGCCTAAGTAGAGATGAAATTACATAATTTAGATCCATCTGTAAGGTTATAGCTTTAATCTAAAAATAGTTACCAATGGGAGTGATATAATGGAATTCGCTCGTTGCATTAAATTACGCAGCAAAAAGTGCGGGGGTAAAGAGAGGAATGAAGCATTTTGAAGCTTTAGAAGTTTGTCCTAAAATGATGTTTGTTCATGTTGCAACGATGATTGAGAATCTAGATTCAAAAAGTAAATCAATTGAGGAATAGAAATAAATGAAATAAGATTGTATTGATTAGAAGAATTCACTTCAGAATAAATCATTGACTTCCGTTGACGATATCACAGATTTGGTCGACATAGCTCTTGATGAATCATCAATTGAAAAGATTATACCATCAAGCATTCTAAAAGTTTAAGTTTTGAGCCATGATAATTCGGTACCTGCATTTAAAAGATTTTAGATAGAATAAAGAGATAAGGAATCTTAGAAAGTCTCATTAGCTAAATACCGAGCAGAAAGCAAAAAGATTTTTGAGATGATCAGAAGGTATAGTCCACTTGTAGAGAAAGCATCATGTGATGAGGCCTATGTTGATATCACCAATGCAGTTAATTTAAAGTTTAAATACTAAAAAGAATAGATTTTTCCAAAAGAATATACGCCAGAGTCTTGGCGCAATTGCTACTTTATGGGCTGCCCTAAAAACGAGGGATTATTTACCCCTGAGACAGAATATGATTTAAAACTTTTTATTGCGAACGATATTGCTTGGCAAATTAGATAAACAATAGATAAAGAATTAAAATACAAAGCATCATGTGGAATTTCTCACAACAAAACAATGGCTAAGCTAGGAAGTTCTTAAAATAAACCTAACGCTTAAACAGTAGTTCCTATAAGATACTTAAAATAAGCAATGAAAGACATGAAAATCTCAAACGTTAGAATGTGTGGAGGGAAAGTATCTGATATATTAGAATCAAATGGCATTACCTAAATGGGATAAATCTAAGAAATGAATAAATAAGATTTGGAATAATTTCTAAGTCCTTCAACAACTCAATGGATCAAAGATCTTAGCAACGGTATTTGTTTTGAAGAAGTTAAGGAAAGAAATATACCAACAACTGCAAATGCAGTAAAGACTTTCAAAAAATGCTATACTTTTTAATAGGTAATCTATTCTAATTATTTAAATTTCATTATAGTTAGAGAAATTTATTGGACTAGTAGTTCTTGATCTAAGCCTTAAAGTAAAAGAAATCTTGGAAGATGTTGAAATATTTCCATAATCATTTCAAATTGGATTCTATGATAGATAAGATAATAATAAGCCAAAGACTCGAAGGTTCAAAATGATTAGTTTGCATGAATTTGAATCAGATAAGGTAACTTTACAATTAACTCATTTAAATAGAGAGCATTAGTCAACTTTGCAACGACTTAATTCTTGCTATTTGAAAAAAATATATTGCCTGCTACTTCAATCTCAGTAGGGATAATGAACTTTAAAAATATAAATGAACTTAAGAATGAGAAAGCTTTATCACTTAACAAATTTTTTTAACCCGTCAAAAATGAAGATGATTACAAGAAGAATTAGGAGAAGATAAATTAAAAATTAAATTAAGAAATAAGTAAAAGTATTGAAAAGAATGATCTCTAGTACTCGGCTGATTTATAAAAGAAAAGAACTTTTCAAGAGGAGCCCAGAGATCTTAGTAATAGCATGAAAAGTAAAAAGGCCAAGTAAGATAAATAGGTACCATAAAAGAGTAATAATTTACTTACTTCCTTTTTCAAGGTTTCTTAAAAATGATTTTGAAAAAGGTGATAATTGATATAGAGTTAAGCTAATCTTAATTTCATTATTATCTTAATTGAGTAAAAGTATTCCTCATGGGGTTTTGGGGTTTTGGGG